CGTTATTGATTTACAAAGYATTAATTACCAAATCGTAAATTCAAATCAATTAATTGCGCTTATGGTAAAATAATTTCAATTTAAGATTCAACCGTTAATACTCAATTGCATATATGCATTTATTTATCGCATGCTACAGAAAAGTCATTATTCATATAAAATATTTATTAGTTATAGTATTAGTATTCAGTAGCAACTTTCATTTTTTTCAAATATTCATTAACTAAGACAAATTACATATTGCAATTAGAAATATTGTATGCATAAATTTAATTGTATTATATTAGTAATTGCAATTTAGATCTYCTCTTCTAAATCAAGTTCTCTACCATAAAGCAGCTTCATTCCCCATCCAGTTAATGCAAATTCGTGCATATGCATATAAATATTGTATACAAAAGCCTGTCAATGTGGCTACATATCTGTTTTATAATTAACAGCTTGCTGCATTAAATTTCTACACTTCTTGATCGGCTTGTATTTAAATAAAAAAATGTATAAATAAATTCCGAAACATGTTTCTACTGTTTCTGTAATGAACAAGCAACTAACTTTCTAAATAAAATTATTTGCCATTATAAATGCTGTATTATCTGTATCATACCTTTAAAGAACTTAAAAGTTGTCTTCGCAAAATCGTAGGGAGTGGCGAACGACGACTGAGATTTCCACTCGCCCTTATAGTAATTAATATATGTACTTGCATTCTAATTAAGTAGCTTTTCTTGTTTCTTCTAAGTGTATGTATATTTATTAACAAGCGAGTAGAGCTTAATCATAGCGAGTAGTGGCGAATCGAAGACGGCTATTCATTTCTCAAAAGTTTGTTGTACGACTAGAAAATAACTCCCAACACTTCCAGGCATGAGATGACGTTCCTTTAATATCTTCTCAATATTTTCTTTCATAAGAACTAATAATTACTTTTAAAACGTACTAAGAACCTAACTTGGTGGATATGACTTGAAGAATTTCGCATTACCTTCAGCACAGACAATTTTCTACAACTTATTATACATTTTTACCAAGTCGACACATAATTTTAATCCATAACCCTGTGCGTTAAATGACGTGGTCAAAACTTAGTGCTCATATACTTTGCGTCTATCATTTTAGATAATCTCAAATTGATTTCCCTTAATTATTTTATTTAATAATGTTTAATTGTTTGAAACAACAAATTCCTTTTATACACATCTACTCACTTACAACAGTTAATTAGTATATTTGTAAAATGCGACTTAAACACTTTCCACCACTTTTACAATCGTAAAAACAGTTAACGAGTCTGTGATTCTCGTCAATTAAGCCAAATACTTAGTCATATAATATTATGGCTATACGSGAATATGGCGTGTGTACCTCCTCCTCATATACTCATTAGGATTTATTTTGTTATTTAAACTCGCGCGTGATATGTTATCAGTACCTGTTAAGTGACTTGCTTCATCATTAAAGAATAGTAAAKATATGTAATTAAAACTGTGCTACGAGTATTATGTGAATACTCTTTTCGGCACACTTTTAACGTCAGCTATGTGTACTTAATTTTAGTTTAATTCTGGCGTAATACGTAGMTTTAAAATTAACTCGATTGCATCATGTTATAAATTTATTAGTTTAATTTTATTTTTATTAATATTATTTAATGCTTATGGCAATATGTCCATTTGCAAGGCAGATAAGGGGTTACATGGGTTTCCTCGGGTAAAAAATAGCCTTTT